ATATGTCCTCCCATGGGGTTTCTATCCCATGAAATTTACCCCTCCCTCTGGAAATTCCATGTGAGAATTACTCCTCCCCTTGGAATCCAGAGCCTGAATGCCCCCTTCCCTGGAAATTCCAGGGTTAATCCACCCCCTCCCCTGGAAATTCCAAGGTTAATGTACCCACTTCCCCTGGAAATTTAAAGTTAATGCACCTCTCCCCTGGAAATTCCAAGGTTAATGCATCCCCTCCCCTGGAATTCCAAGGTTCCTCAACAGGGGGAGTGCAGATAATAATTGGAATAGCCCAATGTTCAAGTTCAAACAATTGAAACAAATATTTTCTCATCAACTATCGTCAAAAAAGGAAACAAAACAGTGCAAAATATAAAGCTTTGTACCTTTCGTATCAGTACTAGAAACCAATGGTGGCTCGGTGTGACCTCTTGGCTAATTGACGGTGTAGATTTCACTTCGCCTGAATCATCTTTTCCAGTCTATTCATTGTCTTGGCTAAACATACTTTGACAAGCAAATACATAGAGAATAATACATGGGTGCGCGGAAATACCAGATTTATTTCGAGTGTTGAACATGATATCTCACGAGTGAGCGCAGCGAACGAGTGAGATACCATGTTCAGCACGAGAAATAAATCTGGTGTTTCCAAGCACCCATGTATTTTTCTGTTTATTATATAAACAAAATTCAGTGAAAAACAATAAAACGTCTGTGGCAATGCATTTTACAATAAATGATATTTTCATGCACACGTAAAAATATTGTATTTTTTACGTGTGTTTAAATACGATTTTTCTCAGTGTCCAAAAACTCTATATAACACTTATGTTTATATAATAAATGTGAATAATATATATTTACCTAAATATTTTCACTGAATTTGTTTTGAAAACAAATGTGAAATTTTTGAGCCATATCGGTCTCGCACATGTCTCAAACTCACTGTCGAAAAAATTCGGAAAAAAAACCTGGTTTGGGGGAAGTTTGATGACTGGCAATTTCATAGCAGATCAGTGTTGTGAATTGTATCAAAATTAGGCAAATGTTTGTCAGCCCGCCTAATTTTTCCATATTTATCCATACATTTTAATCACATGCATCCCACCTAGCCAAAAACGTCTGAAGCTGGAGCTTATTTCAGGCTCTAAAGTCTTTATTTCTTTCAGAAAATGCTCGAAATTGTGCTTCACTTCGGGGACATTCAATACCTAAGTCATTTGCATCAGCATCCCCGCTTCTAATTAATGAATAATAATTTTGAATAAATATTTATTATTGACATCATTTATTATCATTAATATAAACCTTTATTCTCAATTTAATACTTACAGTAGAGTGCATTTTTTTTCAAATTTTAATCGAAAATCACCTCAAAATCATTTCAGTTACAGGCAAAGAAGAACGAACATTGGAACAGGAAAAGAAGAACAAACGTTGACTCTAAGTAATGTTGATGGATAGACAGTGAGACATACAAGTGTGTAGCTCAAAGCCACACTCTAATGGAAGAAAAATTAGTCGAAATAAAAGTAAGGCTGAAGGGTAAGTATTGGTGTACATTTATCACTTATTTACTGAGACCGAGGGAAACAGTGTGTTTTGTGGACCCGAGACCATCGATGTTTCCCGAGGCGAAGCCAAGGGAAACATCGAGGGTCCACAAACCACACTGCTTTCCCAAGGTCTCAGTAAATATTAGTGTTTTATTATACTGTATATCAATAGTCAAAGAAACGACAAATTAAAGAACAAATGAACGTACATACATGAAATATTTTATTGTTAAAATGTTAAATTAAACACTGCAGTTACTTAAAGCGAAAGTTTAAATTACTAGGCATGTCCAAAGGTCGCATCTTCATGTGATGGCGCACATGATTTTTCTTCGTTATTCGCTGGTCGATAACGTATTGTTTCCCTCTCGCGCTGTTGCGAAGGAATCAGCCTAATTTCGTCACTCTCACGTGATATGTTCTCAACCAATAAAACACTAGAAAAATGCGACTTTGACTATTGATATATAATAATGAATATTATTATGTAATTACTTAATTAAACTGGTGGCATATGCACATATGCAAATTTAGAAACTATATAAGAAGGACATTCACGTTAGAACTTTCAACTAAAGTAGTCTGTATGTTTTAAAGTGTGTGTATGTTGTGCCATTCAAGTGAGTAATTAATTAAATTATTTGTTTTTCACATGTGTTTCATGCATGCAAGTGACCATTAATTTGCTTCTGGTCTGCATAATTTTTCTTGTGCGCATGCATATTATCAATTTGTGTCTGCTCACTTGTGGGTTTTATTCCTAAATCATGCTCAAAACCATTACCTATATACAGGCTTTTAGCCAGGGTCCTAAAAGAGGGTGGCCAATTTTGGTATAACGAAACATCTACAGTAAGGGGGGGGGGGGTCGAGAAACGTTCCTCTGGAAAACCTTTGAAGTTTATGTTACTTCATGTCAGTATCTGTTTCAAGCTTGGTAGAAATTTTTCAAACACACTTGGCTTCGTGACTTTGTGCCACTATATCTTTACTTAACAATGACATTTTCATTCAGCCAGGTACACAATTCAGCCAGGTACAAAATGTCAAGTACTGTATAATAATAATGAGAATTGGAGTTTTTTTCGTTTCAGATATATTACACTTGGGGAAATATAAATTGAAAATAATTCCTTTTTCCCTAGAATTTGGGCGTCCAAAGGCGTCCATTTTTCATTCTAGGGGTGTCTCTGGATGCCCTTCTGGCTAAAAGCCTGCCTATATACTAATACCATATATTACTGAAACCATATTTTATACCATTTTGTTTTCTACAGATCCACCAGAAGAGCCATACTTTAAGGAAAAAGCGGTTGTTGGTAAAACTTTTGCCATAACCTGCAAATCTAATGGTCATCTTTTACCACCATTATACCATAATCCATAATTATACCAAGATCATCAGCAATGACAGGACGTATACCATATAAATGTATTGCAGCCGAGAATAAACTTGGAAATAGTTCAACAATATATTATTTATCTATCCTAGGTAAGATTCAGTATTTGCAGATACAAAAACTGTTTTTACAATATTTTACCTCTCGTATATTGTCTTCTGCAGTGGCTTCAAAATGTTGATTGTAATGAAAGTGAAAGTGTAATAACATACAAGAGGAAGTGAAAGTGTAATATGTGTGATTTTTAAACCAATATGCCGTTTGTCTAATTTTTTCCATTTCAAAGATCGTATTCCTCCTTAAACTGAGATCCAATGTAATTGGGTATCAATTTAAGTGTCAATGCTGTAACACATTGTATTTGGGCAAAACTTGCCGACATTTACACACATGAATATCTGAGCATTGCGGAATTTGAGCGGTAAACCTCTTTTCATGTGTAATCAAAGTATTCAGATCATTAAATATATTTATTAAATATATTTATTTGTAAGTGATTTTAAAATTGTTACTTCAGCTAATTCGAACCAGGATATTCTTAAATATTAATTTAAAGAAAGCTTACTCTTCCTTTAACACTCTGATATTTAAGTGCTTCCTCTTGTTAATTTACTAACATCTTTTAATAACAATGACCCTTATAAACCACTTGACATTCCTTTTTAATCTACAGGTACTGTATATCTTTCACTAATCTCTTTATCTTGTATACACACAGCAACATTATATCTTAGGGGCGGACCATTAGAAATCCCGGGAGGGGGGGTGAAAATTAAAAAAAAATTGTGCAGCCATTACGTCAGAGAAAAAAATTCGTGCAAGCAAACAGCAAAGTACAAATAGTCTTGAAAAAAAATTCGTGCAGAGGTTAAATGCATTAAAAAAATTCCTGCAGAGACATGAGACTGAAAAAAAAATTTGTGCCGCAAAAATTTTATACCCTCCCCCCCCGGATTTCTAATGGTCCACCCCTTAGTTTCTAATATATAAAATAGATGAAATAGCTTAACTGTATGTATGAGTCCATAGCGAGAATTGAACCCGCGATCTCAGAGGTGATTGAAAGGAGCTTGCTCAGATGACAACTGTGCCACTGAAGCCCCATATGACGAAATGTTATTCAATATTTTTATATACCAAATGTTTTTTTAATATCACCCTTTTACAAATTATTTGTTGGGCAATAATATTTTTAACTAGAATTTGATTTCCGCCTGGTGTTTCTATTGCTGGTGTAATAACATGATTTAATTATGTTTAGATCAATTAATAAATCCAACAACTGGTATTAGCAGTCAAAAGTTTTCCACTACTGAGAATTCTAGATCAGATAAGGAGGTAAGATGTATACTTGTGTGGAAGTTATGTATTAATGTATACACTTTTAAGATTATTAATTAATATCACTTTTGGACATAATCACACTATTCTTCAAAGACATACTGTATAATATTACACATATCTAACAAGAAATCAGTAAATTTAACACTCTGAGAACTTCACTACAGTATATACATGATATCCATGCTGCAATATTTAATAACCAACCCATTTCGACAAGGACCACTAAGCATGGCATGAACTCCTAAAATACGCTTACAGAATTTTAAATGGGCTTTTAGATATCTTAAATTACACTAAAAAATTTCTTCTTGAACATATCAATATTGGTTATTCTTCCCAATATTGGTTAATTAAATAGAGAATAATACATGGGTGCTTGGAAATACCAGATTTATTTCTCGTGTTGAAAATGATATCTCACAAGTGAGCGCAGCGAACAAGTGAGATATTATGTTCAACACGAGAAATAAATCTGGTATTTCCAAGCACCCATGTATTTTTCTGTTTATTATATAAAGGACAGTCTTTGAAAAGCGATAATTTTTACAGAAAAACGAAAATTGAAAAGCGATAATTTTCACATGTGAGTTTATCATAAATAATCTCGCATGTGAGATTATCACTTTTATCAGTGCTCGAAATCTCTATAAAGCACTATACTTTATATAATAATAAAGTAAAATATACACTCCCCATCCTTCGCAGCAATATAATAGTATCGGAGACACAAGGGTTGAGAATACATTATCAACATTAAAGGAGCGATCAATATGGGTCCAAAACTTCGTTTCTGGTTGCTGTCTGAAATTTAGAAATAATTAAAAACATTTCAAACAATTTTGGATTGTTACTCGGTCATTTTAGAGTAGTTTTATATGGTTAACCCAACTTCTGACGTCATCAAACCCATAGTTAATGAGGTCAAGAATTAGTCCAAGATGGCGGTCAGCTCATTAATTTTGGTCTAAATATCTCGAGAAATAAGCAAGATATGATAAAGATAAATCGGTGAGATACAATAATTTTTTATTGCCAACGTCCTTTAATGCCTAATGAAGATTCTATACATATACTGTGAGATGCACGTGATGCCTTATTATGCAACAACCTTTGTGCAGCTCTAATTAAAATTCCAAGCGTAATCGAGAAAGTAATTCCTAAGTAATAAACATCAGTACTCATCAACTCATTAAATCTCCCTCAAAACGCCAATTTGACGTAATATACAAAAACCTTTGAGATGTACTACCAAAAATTAAAACCATGCACTTTTTAAACTATTTATTTTTAGCCTCCATCTTTTAAACACTCCAACTTAGAGAGACTTTCCTGTAACCCTACCGTAACTCAGACTGCGTTAGATAAAGTACAAGATCATTTGCGTATAAAGCGAACAATTGACTTTCGTATGTAGATGCACCGGGTCTAAATCTTGCAAATTTAATAAACTGAATGAGTTTAAAAAATAAACCTCTTCACATACAGGTTTTCCGAAAATATATTAAGCAAGTGACTTCTATATCAATTAACGTTTTTAGCACAAGTTTGTGATCGGATGTCCTGAATCCATGTCTGAAACCAACTTGATATTTGTTCAAAATCTCGATTACCTCCAAAAAGTATAGAAACGAGAATTCAAAATTAAGGTTAAAAATTTACCTACAGTAAGCAACTGCTGCATGTATAATACATATATACCCCTATAGTTTCCAAGATCTAAGCGACTTCCACCTTATATATAAAGAGGCATTATATAACCTTCAGACCATGTACGAGGAAATACTCATCATGTGAGAAGACTGAGTTAAAAAGCTTAACACAATATGGGGCGTTGCTTGTGATGTTACTCTGAGTGTATATCCACACCGAGCAAGCTTGAAAAATATGCCTGACCACGGTGGGAATCGAACCTACGACATTTGGAATGCTAGCCCAATACTCTGCCAACTGAGCCACGTGGTCTGGTCGGTTCGACGTGGTCTGGTCGAACCGACCTGACCGCGTAGCTCAGTTGGCAGAGCATCTTATTCACCTGAGTACATTGCACCAACACAGAAAATATCACAATATGGGGCAATGACATCCACACTGAACAACCTTAATTATTTCATTGTTAATTGAGCCCCCAGCACTCGCCTTTTTACCTTCAAGTTTCTTAGCTAATGCACAAACTTCTTCCAGAGAAATCGGTACATCCAATATCTCATCTGAGATTAACATGCAGCCCATATTGATAATTCCAGGCAAATTGAGCTTCGTTGCTAGCATTCTCAGAATTTATCTTTACTTCATTTAACTCTTTGAAATAGTTATGACGTGACATTCATTTACTTTGTTATTTGTTGTTGTTTTTATTTAATTCGGAGTTGATTCTGGTCGTTCAAAGGAGTTATTATTATCCAGGCATATAAAGAGTTTAAATAATTGTGACGGCAAGGGTAGGGCGCGCGATATATTTGGCACATATGATCATATTATTGTTGATGATTGCATTCTGATGAGCTTGTATGGGCTTGTCGTTACTCGTATGCTATATGATTGATTTTGTAAGGGATTCATGCAGTGAGGGAGATTATATAAATGCAAACATGTCAGGGTTTTGTTTCTTCCTGGGAGCACAACCTGAAGACAAAAATTCCCTGCAGACCAACGGAGTATTTTTACGCTAAATCTGGATGTGCATAAACGTATAATGTTTTAGCTGACCATGGTTTTAAATTCAAGAAATAATATGTCTGTCAAGCATATGTTGTTGTGTCCATAGTGAGACATGGGTGTTAAAACAGTCTGTTTGTCGAGTCAGTTTGGACACAGAATAACTATAATTTAACTATGCAGAAACTCCCCTCTCCACATTACACTTGTTTAGCTATCTGAAACGAGCGCGGCCAAGCCATACAAATTTATACAACGCACTCGTTTTCAGATCGCTAAACAAATGTAATCATGAGTTCTTTGGTATATGGGGAATGGGACGTCTGGTTAAATTGTTATTCTGTGATCTGGGCCAGTCTGTTAAACGCCAGTCGGTTCAGGTATATTTGGTATTTTTAATCCCTGTGTATAATGTGTTGATTTAGCGATATAGTATTTTAGTTAGGCTCGTTATTTGGCCGATGCCGAACAATAAATTTGGGGCAATTTCGCACCCAGCTAGTTGGTCAAAACGGAATTAGATGGTTTAATTCCCTTTCAGGAAAGTGTTAGTCAAGGTGGGATAAATATTTGAGACTTATCGACGTTTTGCTTCATGTCCCACAGATATATATCCTGGTTATGACCAGGCATGTAGTCTCGCCTACGCTTCATCTCATCAGTATAGTTTTGTGAATTGTGACTTTCTGTGGCCCGTATAGTTATGTGGCGACTAAATCTGGCTGGAGTCGAACCAAGATATCCATAACACGACGTCTATTAGGATTTCGCCACTAAATGATTTTGATCGGGGCCAAAACAAAGTTGGTACTAAGTACTTGCATGGCATGTTTATGTATACCACAACTCGGTCACTAACGCCCGTTTCACACGTCGAATTTCGGTCGTGTCGAATACAATTCAAACAATAGATAATGAAGCTAAATGAGGTTTAGCATCTCATTATCTATTGTTTTAATTGTATTCGACGCGACCAAAATTCGACGTATAAAACGGGCCTAACTTGTTTAGCCTAGCCTTGGAACAACTCAAATCTATAGGGTCTGGAAAATTTTTAAAATCTAAGGTGCTTAGCATTTTTTTAAAGACATTGAATCATTTGAAGATTAAAAAAAAAACATGACATAAGATTCACAAAGCTAGAATATCAAAATCCCTTCTAAATTCCATTTTTTCACAATGTTTTGCTTATATTTTAGAGAAAAGGGACTTTGACCTGAGGGGGGGAGGGGGCAAAATGGTTGAGTGGGGGCACTATGGGGGCTGGAGAGGGGCCTCGGCCATTCCAGTTATATAGTTCAATACGGCTAATGGATGTATTGGTTGAAGCCAGTGTTTGCACTTTTGAATGAGATTGGTCGGGGGGGAAAACAAAGGTGTGTTTCAGTTCTACATTTACATTTAATTAAATCGGTCAGGAATCCTAATGATTATTACAACAACTATATATTATGATATATTAACTAAAATACAAAAATGCCAAACGAAGTTTAAATAGCCTATAGCTCTAGATACAAAAATGTTATTACCTCAAGAACTTCTTAAGTTCAATTTTAAAAAGATCTGAGGTTTCAGATAAACTACAATTTCTTCAGGAAGACTATTCCAGTCTCTTAATGTTCTATAGGTTGTACTTGTTTTGGTAGTATGTCACGTGAAGAGGCTTTACACCTGATAAAACTCATAAAAGTGCATTCTAATTAGTATTCTTTATATAAAGAATACTAATAAGACGGCATCCATTATAGTCGTGTTTGGAGCAGTGGTGAAGCCAGCCTGATAATTAGGTCATGCTATGCAAATATTTCCGTGTTCATAGACCGTGAAAACAATCCACTTCGAAAGAAATGAATAATGATAATGATTGTCATAGCATGACCAAATTTTCGGGTTGGCTTCGCCACTGGTTTGAAGCTTTTCAAAACACTTGTATAGTGTGTTTTATCATATCTAAAATGCTCGTGCTGCGCACTCCATAAAACACTCCTACGTGTGTTTGAAATAGTATGCTTTTTTTACTATATAGCAACTGATCCAACTTTTCGCTGACCAATCACATTGCCAAGATTTGGTTTTCGCTTCGCGTGCACAAATTCGCCTAGTGGAAAATACAGCCCGAAAATTTGGTCATGCTATGCAAATTTTAAATCATCATTATTCATTTCTTTAAAAATGGATTGTTTTCACGGGCTATGAACACGGAAATATTTGCATATAGCATGACCAAATTATTAGGCTGGCTTCGTCACTGGGAAAATAAGCTTAACCATCAATCATCACATATGTCAAGCCCCTATAATATATATAATACGATCATATGTGCCAGATATACTACTTTGCCCTAACAACTTCTAACCGTGGAGAATTAAATCGACTCCAAATTAACGACCAACGGTTTGGTACGTGGTGTTGAAGTGTCATAACAAGATTTTTGGTAGGATAACTTATATAATTTTGTTAATTCCCACGATTCTATCCTCTAATCCTAACTCCAAGGCTCTCCTTTATATATGCATTAACCACTAACATACACCCCTCCTTATTAACCCCTGCTGAAGAAGATTGTTAGGTCGAAACGCGTACAGGGTTGCCTTTCCCACTCAATTTCATTCTCTCGCTCGTAAACCTTTTCTCCTACAATTATATCTCATGAATCTTTCACCTAATTTTAGTTCTTAATTGTAGTTTCCTAGTTTTTTACATATATTCACCTCAAGTAGTTAGAGTACAGAATTATAATAAATATTAAGTACTAGATAAACATGAGCAACCGATCTGTAAATAAAGCCGATCAAGAGCAGCCGATCTGATAAAAATGGGTAGCCGCCATTTTGAAAATTTCTGTTTTGTTATATTCACCTGTAGGTGAATATAACAGCTTATTACGTCAAATTTGACCAATCAACGTGTAGGATTTGTTATGTTCACTGTGCAAAAATACTAAAAAGCTATATCGCTTAACTGTCTCATACATATCATTGTAAGTGCAATGTTAGTCGGTGCTGTTATAGGGCAGCTACAACTTTTTGCGATATACCAATAATTTTGTTATACAAAACAACATTTTTTATCCCTCTACTTGTGCTACTATACAAGAGTAACTCTAGATTAAAATTATTATATGTATAGTTAAGAATTTACTGTAGTATAAAATTTTCTAAACGTAGTCCATTATACTAAGCATAAAGTCTGGATAACATGTCTTTCTTTAATTTGTTCTAAAACCTTTCAAGCAGGACGTTAACGTTATGTTATTATGTGGCAAGCATCGCAAAAAAGACCTCGGTCCGATAATTCTCTGTACAGACCTCGCGTTCGGTTAATAAGAAGTTAATATTTGGAGGAGCTCTCGATTACGAGTGAGCCACCTATACCTGCAATACAAAACTGAGCCACCTACCTGCAATACAAACCTACGAATTTGAGAGACCTCGGTCCGATAATTCTCTGTACAGACCTCGCGTTCGGTTAATAAGAAGTTAGTTGGAGGAGCTCTCGATTATGAGTGAGCCACCTGTACCTGCCATACAAAACTGAGCCACCTACCTGCAATACAAACCTAACGAATTTGAGAGCGCCAGCACTCTCCCCTTGACAAGCAAAATCGACTGGTATGAGACATTAAAATAATAAAGTAGGGTGCATTGCCATTGGGCCACAATACTCAAAAATATAATCTGTGTCAAATACTGTAAGTTGTGAAGGCAATTCTGCAAACATACGTTTTCTGAATTTATTGCACAATTAAGGTGGGGCTAAGTTGTGAATACGCTTGTACATCATGACTGCATGTATTTCTAAAAAGCAAGTGTTCCTTCACCGGAAGTCAATTCAGTTCCCTCAGTTTTGATGAGATGTGGTCGAACTTGTTTGTGTTTGTCACGATCCTGCACGCAAAGTTTTGTACCAATGATGTTTTTGGCCGAAGTGTTCGGCCAAGCGGAGTAGCAATAGGGAAGTTTATTCATTATCAATGCTGATACCAGGAGGGATATAGTTTCTGTATCAAAGCATTTGCTTATTCGGTTGATGTGTGACAATTTAGAGAAGACCACTTCAATGATATGGCAGTCATATGTCAATTTGGTATATCCATTATTAATCCTAAGTCCTTGACTGTTGTAACAGTTGCCGCGTTCCAATAAGCAGGTATATTTGTTTTTTTCGGGTTAATAAGTAGGTGAAGCTCAGAACAGCACTTTGCTACTTGGCCGAGAACGTCCTGGCTTGTCTAAATCCTTGACTGTTGTAACAGTTGCCGCGTTCCAGTAAGCAGATATTTGGTTTTCTTCGGGTTATAATAAGTGGGTGAAGTTTAGAACAGCACTTCGCTACTTGGTCGAGAACTTCCTGAAGGTGCTCTTTGGCGTCATTTACAACTTTAACACGGAACGACAACAACATTTTGGAATCATCAACATATGATTTGAAACATAATTCTCTTTGCACCTACTTGGAACCCTGTAACTAAGGTTTAGGGGTTTTTTTTACATATTTTGAACAAAAATAGTGTGAATATCCTTTTCCGGTTGATAATTTCAGCAAATATACAACAAAAGTTATTCCGAATAAGAAGTGCATGAACGAACTACGAATAGAACGTTAATGTGATTCCTTACGCACTTTTGCCACAGAGTATAGGTACTGTACATACCGGCAGTGGTGTAACTGACCGTTGTAAACACTGCGGAAGCTTACGTTTTCATGTACCCACTTTTTTTCAGGCGACCGGGCAAAATATGATCAACTGCGCGTGCTCGGCAAGTTCCGCAAGCAGTAAAAGCGAGTCGCCATCCAATGGGATGCATGTATCTGGTAACTTGCTGAGCATGCGCACAAAAAAAGTGGGTACACTAGTTATAACAGAGGTATATGTATCTGATCTGTGCTTTTGCGCACGCTAGCTTGTTTAAAAATTGCTATACGCTTGTAATATAACGGCATATCTTGCAAAACACTGCTGAAGATGAATCGGATTTGATTCGAAATATACACTTTTTATAAATTGTGCATGTGTTAATATATTATGCACTCCTTATTCGGAATAACTCTTGTTCTATAAGTGTGAATATAATTTTTTATAATTCCGCTTAGGATTAACGAAGCAACAAAATCGTGATTGAAAGTTTGCGTATTGTTTTTGACTACAAAAATGACGCAATTGTTGTTCTCATAGTACGCACCTACTTTGAACCCTGTAACTATATAGTTTAAATAATTACAAGTGTCGATGCAATTATCGCTTTTTCAAACTTTTCTTTGGTTTAACAAATCTTAAAAACATGGACTGTTTTTGACTACAAAAAGGCGCATATATATACTCTCACAACAACTATGGCGACCTTTCAGTTGTAGTAAAAAAAGTACGCAAGCTTTGTCAATCACGATTTTTGGCTTTGTCAAACACAAGAGAAGTTTAAAAAAGCGATATAGCGGTATTCACACTTCTATTTCTGTTCAAAACAAGTAAATAGAAAATCCTGAAAGTCATTCGAACTATATATAGTTACGGGATTATGAAACATTACAAGAGTTTATCAAGTTACAAACACTATTCCACAATAACAGGATTAAAATAGGACTTGCAACCAAATAAGTACTCGAAAACTCCGCTTTGTAAAACTTGTACTTTATACATGTGTAAGTTTCTGCTTGTTTAAGTGAGTTTCATTGCTTTGCATTAGTGAGTTTCTGCTTGTTTTTTAAGATAGTAATATAACCACTCAGCACAGCATTTTCACATTGGTACTACCTACACTGGTACAGACAGTTTTAGTACTTACATGTACTCAATGATCTGCGTGTCCGGCCTTGATTTACGAAGGGGACAAAACTATTGATGTTAATTTAATGTCTACATATCCATTCACCGCCTTAAATAGAAAGACCACATCCTTAACTTCGCGATCGTAAGCATGCAGGGAACACATCTAGCTGTTGAAGTTTCTCTTTGTATAGGATATTTCCCCAGGTTTAACACACAAGATACATCAGACTAATGACACTTGAAAACGCTCTACCGAAAGTCGTGGGTTTTTTTCCCGCGTACTCCAGTTTCCTCCCACAGAGAATGTTGACAGGGTGGGTTGGGATTAGTCCACTCACTGACCCTTCCACCGTAGCTGAGCTCCGCGTGATCAGATATGAGAGGCGCCCTTATGAGCCTTCGACTCGATCAGGTTAAACTAATTTTATTGGGAACATTATTTAACAATAACAATAAATAGGTATTGCCCAAAAGGAAAAGTGGGAACAGGTCAGAAAATGCCCATGCGACGCACCACCCTTATAAACTTTGCCATTATATATATTTGCATTACACTATAAAGTTACAAACTATAGTTGAGGTAAAGCTCGATTTGCGCATAATCCAGAAACTGATCTCCGTAATGGCAGATTTTGCAAAAATTGCATGACGATTGTACAGAAAAGAAAAGTGGATTGGCTTTCAAACATGCGACTTAGGCATACACAAAACGAACTTTACTTCAATCAAA